TCACATTGACCCAAATTGCAAGCTCGCTTCGGATCCATTACAGCTCCTGAATTTGAACAAGCAATGATCCTATGGACACTTGCCGCATGAATCTTGAGAAGGTGGCAAAAATCTGTCCCTACACCTGGCGGCTGGGAAGCTTCCAGCCTTTGAGAATATGGTAAGAGCATTTAACATTGGAGCAATCAAATTCATGAGTGGTGCTCTTGTCCACAAAATGGCCGTGGCTAAGTCCAGCCTAAAATAAGTGCATGATTATCGATCAAGAGAACGCTCGTTGTCTTCTCTTTGGCTGGAAATGATGCCTGGTCTGGGCAAATGCAAGTTAGCAAAGATTCCGAGCAACAATACTGTACTCAAGCATTTGTAGAGTTTTTTGTTGTAAACATCGAAAATCCAAACGTTTTCATGTTAGTTTTAATTAACTAAGTCTTACAGTTATTTTGCATCTGCTTTTTTCCTCACCAAGAAATGTTACATAGAGCATATAATTAACGTCCATTCGCTTTGATTGTAACTTATGGTCGGCCACTAGCAATAGAACATTCCTGAACAATTTTGTTAAGTAATTTTTGTTTGTTTACTCAGCCATTTCCAACATTATCCAAATCCCAGGCACAAGCGTTTTACTTGACTAGCATGTGTTTATCTTTAGAACTGATAGATAGAAAATTCTTATCAAAGAATGCATCGTTCACTCACTCGCGAACCAGCTTCATAACTTTGAGATCTTCCAGCCATCCCTGGAGGCCACGAAACGACTTCCCATTCTCTTTGTCCATAGCTTTCCTCGCAAGGATCTTCAAGTTCTCCACTCTCTCCTTCATCTTCTTCCCCTCCTCGCTATCCATCACCTTTCTTATGCCAGCCTCGATCTCTCCCCGCTCGATCAATCCCTGCACCACTGTCTTGGAGAATCTAACCCCGATCTTCCAGTCCTCCACTATAAACTTACAGTTGGTGTTTTGCTCGCCCCCGTAAGGCCACCCCAGCATTGGAATGCCATTCGCGATGCTCTCCTGGACGGAATTCCATCCGCAGTGAGTGAGAAACGCTCCCATGGAGGGATGGGCGAGAACTCGCAGCTGTGGCGCCCAGGAAACGATGAATCCCTGGTTCTTGGTCCTCTCGCAAAACCCATTGTAAGATTCGTTCGAGTGACCACCCACCACCAGCTCAGGTCGAATCACCCACAAGAATGGCTTCTTCGATGCCTCGAGAGCTCCCGCGAGCTCCTCGAACTGCTCCACGCTCAGCACCGCGATGCTGCCAAATGAGATGTAGAGAACAGATCCACGCTCCTGCGCATCCATCCAGTGAAGGCAATCCTCGTTCTCGGGTCGAAGCACCACATTCTTCCTGGAATTGTCGAGCAAGAACAGTGGTCCCGCGGGGATGAATCGAGGCCCGAGCTCGCTGGCCATGAAATCAAAACTGGGCGCCTCTAGGTCGTAGAAGGAATTGACGAGGACCCAGCGCGCGCGCTTCACGACGGGGGAGCGCTTGATGCAAATCTCCTTCCACACCTCGTCGCCCTGAAGGTACGTGGGCACATCGGCCAGGCGGAGCGGCTTGACTCCTCGGACGTAATCGATGATCACAGAATTGGCCTCGTCCGCGGAAGCCCTCCCTGCGCATGCATCGATCAGCCCAAGGGAAGAACAGGGGATGTTAATTCCAAAGGGAAGAGGGCTAAAGGGAAGAACGATGGTATTCCAAGGGAAGAACAGGGTAATTCCAGGGAAAACAAGGGAAGAACAGGGGAAACGTTTAATTCCAAGGGAAGAACAGGGAAAGTTCATGGCCAAAATAGGGGATTCGTACCTCTGCTAGGAAATATGTGATCCTTCTCCAGAAGCTCTGGAATGTGGTACTCCAAGCTCGTCCATGCCGCGGTGCCCGGCCAAAGAATGACCCTGGGGATGCCAAACACATCCGCCACATCCTGGGTCCAATCGCAGAAGTAATCCGAGACGATACAGCTGACCGGATCGCCCTCCTCGCCGAGCTTGCGGATCAAATCCTCGAGGCCGCCGGGGAGCTCTCGCGCAGCTGCCGCGAACCAGTCCCCCAGATTTCGCACGACGTGGGCGTCGACTCCTCGCGGGACCTTCCACGAGAATGGGATGGAATGGAGGCGTATCTCTTCCAGCGCCGCCCAGTGCTTGATGAATTCGTCGTGGAGGCTGTCGATATTGACCACGGAGATTGTGAAGCTTGGATCTTGAGCGATGAACTTGCAGAGATGGATCATTGGGGAGATATGGCCTTGGGCGGCCACTGGAACCGCCAAGACATGGACCTTGGTAGAAGCCATGATTTTTTTTTGGCAAGGAAAGATTTGTGCGTAAACTGTTTAGACTACTAGGCGTCTCTGGAGAAGATTCCTTGGTAGTTTAGTGTTTTGTCCAATTTCTGGAGATTAAGATCCTGATGATGGTTCCAAGGATTATTATCCCCTCGCTGGGATTAAGTTTCACAATTCCAAAAGCTAAGGGACTGTAAAGTTTGGATCGATATTTGGGGCAATGATCCCTTGCATGCCTGGACAACTGCCACATGAATCTTGATCTCTTTTAAGTTGGGAAAAATCTAGATATTTCCGTGCATGGCGGCTGGGACGAGCAAAAGAGAGAAGAAAAACATGGTAAGAGCATGTAACATTAAGTAAGTGCTCTAAGACATCTCTCTAATCCCGGATTCTTAAAGAAATGCATGACTACAGCGCGCTAATGGTGTCTTCCCTTCGGCCGCAAATGATGCCTCGTCTGGGCAAATGCAACTTCGCAAAGATTCCGAGCAACAATGTTGCGCTGAAGTTTGTAAGCATCGACTTTAATATTGGTTCCAAACGTTTTCATGTAGGTTCTAACGAAGCTCTTTCGCATCTAGTCAAGTAAAACGCTGCTCAGAGTCTATCAGAGGGCATTGTGGTGATCCCAGGGGGTTCCGCTAAAGATATCCCCAGTTGGTAGCGGCCATTCGCGAGGAATTCCATCTCCTCGCGGTAATCCCTGCGGATTTCTCAACTCGGAGTCGGATCGAGCAGCCAGGATCGCCGCAGGGATGTTGGCACCTCCTGCGCTCTGCGTCTGGCTTTCCAATGCTTATGCGCAATCTCAGTGAGGAAGAAACCGGTATGGATCAAAGAAGTTGGAACATTAATTATCTTGAGAACTGGTACAAAGTTCTTAAAGTTCTCTTCAAAGAATGGATCTTTCACTCACTCGCGATGGATCTTCAAACCTTTGAGATCTTCCAAGAATGCTTGGACGCCACGAAACGATTTCCCATGCTCTTTGTCCATGGCTTTCCTGGCAAGGATCTTCAAGCTCTCCACTCTCTCCTTCATTTCCTTCCCCTCCTCGCTATCCATCACCTTTCTTATGCCGTCCTCGATCTCTCCTCGCTCGATCAATCCCTGCATCGCGGTCTTGGAGAATCTAACCCCGATCTTCCAGTCCTCCACTATGAACTTACAGTTGGTGTTTTGCTCGGCCCCGTAAGGCCACCCCAGCATTGGAATCCCGTGTGTGATGCTCTCCTGGATGGAATTCCATCCGCAGTGCGTGAGAAACGCTCCCATGGAGGGATGGGCGAGAACTTTCAGCTGTGGCGCCCAGGAAACGATGAATCCTTGGTTCTTGGTCCTCTCGCAAAACCCATCGTAGGATTCATTTGAGTGTCCACCCACCACGAGCTCGGATCGAATCACCCACAAGAATG